GGGGGGGGAGAAACCAAATAGAATATTAGAAAAATATGGAATATAAGATTTATGGTATTTTTCAGTAATCTTATATTCATACAATTTATTTGTGTGACTTCCATCGCTTAGAGGCATCACAATATTTGGTAGATCACGCCAATCAGATCCGCTTATTGTTGGAATATGCGCCATACGTGCTTCTACTAGCGGGCCTAAATCTTTACATATGTGATCTAATAATAATGTGTCACGTACGCCATGTCTTACCTGCGCGTTAAAAACACAAACAATAAAGTTAATGCGAAACATATTTTATCAAAATGAAATTATAATTTGCCAACCTTCTTTTGGAAGTGAGATAAAGGCTCGCTGCCATAAGCCATGACATCTTCATTTTTGCCACTTTTAATATTTGGCAAATCCGATAAAGCATCTCGTACTGTAGTAACTTTGTATGGGGCTGAATCGGTCCAATCATACACCGGAGAATACTAAAGTAATAAATACGAACACCAAAGTTATAAATATGAAATACTGATTTAAAAGAAAGAAGAAAGACAATACCTTTTTATTATCTATTACAACGCTTAAATTACACGCTGATTTACTAAATACATGAAGTGGATTTGGAAACCTAGGCAGTACTTCTCCAGGGGCAGCAGCCAATATTATCATCCTAAACATAATTTATAAATTATTGTTTAAATTATCTGACATTCTATTGCTATATTAAGCAAAATTAATACCTTCTTCGAGTTTGTGGGACACCATAGTTTCCTGCCTGAAGTATTCCAAAAGTGCACTGATATCCCATTCGTATAAGGCATCTCAATGTCAATTTAAGTACCATACTTTTTTTAAATGTTACAAAATTCCGTACATTTTCCATTATAAAAAATCGAGGTCTGTAGTAGTCACAGTAAGAAAGATAAGATACCACGAGAGAATTTTTAAATAATGAATAAGCTCGAGAATTAAATCTATTCATGCCACTAAAGCCTTGACACGGAGGTCCACCACAAAGCAAATCTACTTCACCTTTTTCAGGTAAGCGTTGACCACTTACTAACATATCACCCTTAAAATTAATATATTAATTGAATTATCATGAGTAAATTATAGTTTTTCATTTTTTACATAAATTTTTTACAGTTAAATAATTACATTCATTGCTTTTTTAAGATACATATTGCAATCTCCGGTAAAAACAGCGGTGTTTGAATTATTTTGACGATAAGCGTGCGCTGCAGCTTCATCGACTTCAATTGCCCATTTACTTTCCGTGACGCCAGCTTCCTGTAAGCCTTCTGATAATCCTGTAAAAATTCAGCATTGTAAAAAATACATAACTTTTGAATGATGCACGTGCATATTGTATGTGTACCTCCACAACCAGCAAAAACATCCAAAGTTCTTAACTTTTTCGAAATCTTTATAAATTCTGGTAAAACATCTAAGGGCTTATTTTGAAATTCTAGTTTTTTACTCTTAGACTTTAATTTATCATTTTTTTTGCTAATCTTTCCGATACTGCATGCCTTTGGTGGTGGATCGTCAAATTCTTCATATTTACTAATATACATTTGAGAAAAGTAAAAACGATTAGGTCCAGCGGCTGACCACTCTTCAATACTTTGATTTAAATTATCCGAATAAGCCAAATAACATTTTCCAACTACACAAGTGAAGGGAACTGTACACTCTGCAAAATAGTAAAATGTTAAAAAAAATATCAATTTTTTATAATTACTTTATTAATGATATAACTCATTACCTTCTTCACTCCAAAACAGCATATTAATATCTGACCGTTGCTTCAAAGATTCGCTTTTGTAAGTATTCTCTGGTCGGTATAACTTTTTAACTGTGATATACAAGCTAGTGGATGCGAGTAATTTCACATTCGTTGTAGCATAAATGCAAGATATATAACCAATATCAAATGGCTCGGGTGTATCAAAATTAGAACCCTTAATACGATCATTGAACTTTCGATAATATTCGGGAAATCTGTCCTCATCGACCTCTCTTTTTGCGTGTTTTATAGCATTTTGATAAGGTGGTGGATATTTAAAATTAAATGTTTTTTGCTGCAAAAATACAGCATTACCAACTCGAAACTCCTCATCTTTATATTTCACTAAGCCATATAACACTTCTTTGCTATTTTTTTCTTCTAATTTATCAAATACTTGTGGTCTATTTTTCTGTTGTAAATTTGTGCATCGTGTACAAGCAGAACAAAAACGATATTTTATTTCTGGTCGGCAATCAAGATCTGATAATGGATCTTCAAAGCGAGCAGTATTAGGATCGTAACGTTTCTGGTAAAAAAATGACGTATTATCTTCTTTAGACTCATTCAAGCTTGAATCAATACTAATATTACCTACAATGAAATTTCATATTTAAAAGTTAAAATTTTTAATATAAGATTATATAATTAAGAAAAAATTATTGAAATTACAATAAGTATCAGAATACCTATTAAAAAACACAAATTAATATCAATAAAGGGTCAATGTTGCATTTTTTTTAATTTTTTCTTTAATTCAAGTTAACTTAATATTTAATTATAATGTTAAATTAAGTAAATAAAAGTCAAACATATTGTATAATGTAAATTAATTAATTTTAAAATTAAATGCAATGTTTATTACCTAATTCAGTCCAATTATCCGGAGTATTTTGACGAACTACCTCAGTTTTTGATTTCACATAAGAAATAGGTACATCTTGACAATCGTCTACTAAAAATAATTCACTAGAATTTGATGTTTCACCCAATATTGTTTCACTTCCTCTCCATAACCAGTTGGCATGAAACATCTTAATTCCCATTTTATTTTCCCACATATATATTACTTTTACAATTTGTAATGGTACAGTCGGATCGACAGACTCAATAAAAACATAATCATTTATTTCAATGGTTTCTGAATCAAGCTCAACCGCAGTATAAAATGCTCCTTTAGTATCTACCAGCTCTACTTTTCAAAGGCCCTATCATTTTCCTATAAGCAACAATGCTTGATTCTGCATCAAGTTCAGGCGCTTCATCAGGATCTTCGTCGTTTGCTTCCTAAATAATTCGTAAATGATTGTAAAAATTTTTTTATAATACCAATAGGACAATTTCATAATTTACATAATATCTCTCTATGCCAAAGTATTGAAAAATAGTTATGCAATTTAATACATCTAGTTTGTAATAGAATTTTATGGATATTTTTTGTTAATATTTAAAAATGTATTTTATATATTTACCTGAATTTCCATGTTCGGACATCGACGCTTTACACAGGCTTGTTTACTTCGACCAGGACCACCAAATTTGATCATACTCTTACAAGCAGCGCATTCGCCACAATCCGGTTGTTGACAGGGTTCGCATACACCACATCTGCGCCGCTTTAGAGCTATGGTATCAGTATTATTGGCCAATTGGTCAGGGAAAAAACTTTCAAACATATTATTGACCAATTGAGTAGTGGTAGCTTTTGTCCAAGTAGGTTTTTTTTCTTTCTGCGCTTTGCGTAAGAGGCCTCTACGCCAATCATCTTCTTGCTGTCTACTACTATTACGTTTTTTACCTTTCCTTATTGTTTTACCTTTTTTAAATGTTATTCCTGCAAGATCAATTAAAGCACGAATACAGGGAGTCGTAATTAATAATGGATCTTCCGATGTGGCAGATTCATCAAATGAAACAATTTGATCACAGATAAACTGAGCGTGATGTAAAAGTATATCTTCCGTGAACTTTGGTAGGCCTTTTGGCATGGCAACTATCTAAAATAAGAATATAGACTATTTAAATTGAAAAATTGAATAAATTCATACAAATGACATATTTGGGTCTTTTAATTCGAACGTTCGTCAATTCTCATATTAAATGACCGTAAAATAAAGTCTTACTTGAAGTTTATTCAATAGGTCCTCGTAAGTAGGACTTTCTTCGTCCAATAGAAATTCAATAACTGTCTTACTCATAAAACTTTTTTCTCTTACTGAAACCATAAATGAATTATACTCTTCAGAAGCATCTAGTAGAACATAATCTCCAATTTCAGTACTAAAAGATACAATCGCTTGTTCTCCACCATCAAATCCAGATACCCACCACTCAACAATAGGGCCTAAGTCTTTGCCTGGTATTCCTCCTTCGATAGAAGGATCATCTTCATAAATGGCTTTTACATAACCAGAAAAATACAGATTTACATTTTTTTCAATTAAGCCAGTATCGAATGGACATAAATGGCCATTCTTGTCATAAACGCTAACAAAGTACAAAACATAAGTATTAAAAGGATTGAAAGAAAAAACAATATTGGACAAAAATTTATTAAATATTTTATATAGTTATACCTAAACGAAGTAACTTTATTAAGTGCTCTTGCATCACCTTCGATGATATTCAATTCATCTCCATTAAATAAGCATAATTTTGGGTCCAAAAGGACCGAATACTCATCGACCGCATTATTTGGATGACCAATGTATAATCTCAAATCTGTATCATTTAATTTTTGCAAGCAAATTTCACAGATAGATTCGGTTGGTTTTACAAGCTTTTTTATGAAATCTTTAGTTTCACATTTATTCGTATCATTGCTTTGCATTTTAACTCTTTTGTTTGCGTTACCCTCTGTTGTATCATCGTCTACATCATTCTCCTTTATCTTTTGCAAAATATCGTCATTGTACGCATCTTCATTTATTTTAATTTCCTTGGAAGTTGTACCGTTCATTTCCACCAACATGCTGACGACGTACTTTCAAGTAAACTACTAAAACAAAAAGAACAGCACCTTTTGGAAATAAATATTAATTAGAATTTTACATGAATCAAAGTATCTAGTACGATCGAAGAAACAATCATGAGGTTATAGTGGCCGGTATATTCAATAGAGCACAAATTTTTTCAATCAAACAATATATTTATACGATATGTGTATGCAAGTATAAAATAACAATCCACGCGTGTTGCAAAACGTAACAAATTTGTGCACTAATTTTTGTTGTTGTTGTTGTTGTTGTTGTTGTTGTTATGAAAAAAAAAATAATTGTAAAATGCACAACGAACAAACCTTGCACAAACTTTTCGTTACCACAGATGCTGCGCGCGCACTCAAGTTCCCTCGCAAAATAAAATTACATATGCATAACCGTGAAACGTTGCACTGTCAGTGTTGTCAATTGATATAGAGTTTTTTAAAAGCACTTGGTATTCGTAATAAATTATTATAATAACAGTAATAAATATAATTAAAATGATGGTGTATTGTCGGCAACAACTATAACCAAAGGCTATTTGCGTTAAGTTAATTTTGTTAAAAGTATGTAGAGACAGGGGGGAAGAAACAACGTACGTCGCAACGATATTCTTTGAACTTAAAAATCTATTACGAAATGATTGTAGGTGTAAGCCTACGACGAACTCTCAAACCTATCGCACCGGAAACTCAGATGTGCGCAATACACTTCCGTGCTGCTTGCTTGTTGTATATGATGCAATAATTTAATTATTCATCAATAATTTAACGAAGGCGGGGTAATCGTAACAAATGAGTGCCAATAATTGAATATCGAAAAATCTTTTTGTTTCATAGTATAGGGGAATAATATTTCTGAGAATGCTTAAGGACATTAACATAAATTTGTGCGTAAATGCAATATTAACGTTATTTTTACGAATGGTATAAAATTGTGGGCTAACGCTATAAAACAACAATATACAAATAATAATGTGGTTAAATAGATATAAATGAAATTCTTAACTTAGTATAGTTAACGCTGTATTTGAAAAACTCAATGCACGTGTAAAAATGAGAGCTAATAAAGCTAATAAGCTAATAAGCTCCTTTAATAGCCATGAAAAATTTTCTATAATATGTAAATAGCTACAAAGTCCCATTAGAATCTTCATTTATGCTGAATAACTCCATTGATGCCATTGATTGTATATTTAATTTCTTTTCAACAAAAACGATGGTACGACGTATTATTGTTCATCTACTATACATAAGTTTTTATATAACATAAAACCATATGACGTAATTACAAATATTTGATAAAGAAAATGATTTTAAAATAAATATATATATATATGTATGTATATGTTGTATAATAGAGCGCCATAAAATAGTAAAATTAGCTACTATACATTTTCATAAAATGCGAATTTTATAAATAAAATCAGTTAATAAATAAATAAAAATAAAAACATAAATAAAAGAATAAATAAAAGCAATTTCTATAATTTTGTTCATAGTCGATATTAATGGTTGATATTGTCCGTTCGACTTTCGCTTCCTAACAAATATGACTGTGAAATTAGTACTTTGCAACAATTTTCCAAGTTTTATTTGGCAATCAACTAAAGCTTTCTTGATACTACCGTTACGCACAATTAAATTTAACTTTACTTACAGATAATTAAACATTAAAGATTAAAATAAATAAGCTTTAGAGACTTTTTATTCTCAAAATAATCAACGACTCTTATTTCATCTTACAATTCCACAAATTAGTTTCATAATAGTTTCACAATTACCACACAAGATTATATGAATAATTATCGTGAATTAATCTAAATTTATACACGGGAAATGGATAATCGATAAAACATGAAAATTTGATATATTATTATATTTAATAAATACATTTAAAATTACAACCATAACTAGTATATATAATAAATTTATTAATACAGTCTTTGTTTTCCTTAGAATGCAGAAAAAATTTTTAATTTTTCTACTTCAATATGGATTATTATGTAAGTGAAATATTTATGTATTTGTGTGTGTATATATATATATGAATGCATTACTAAATATTGTTTATATTTTATTTTCTTTCGGTTATTGTTTGATTTATTCATTATAATATTTTGACAACATTTGTTATCTTATTAAATTAATAATCTTATTCTCCAGGTAATCAATATAACTCCATTATTGGTAAAAGTCTTATGGGCGTGAATGTAAGACAGACAGTTGCTAGAGAAGATTATTTTCACGTCGCTATTTTACAAAGGGGTTCCGAAATTCCACGAAATATCATATGCACCGGAGCTCTCATTTCATTTTATCATATTTTAACAGCTGAGCATTGTTTCGATGAAATTGCTAACGTCGGATTCAAAGTGCTTGTTGGGTCTCATAATTTATATAATAGCATAACATATTATCCATTTTGGTATATCACCTACGATCAATGGTTTAATATATTATCCAGACCAGCTCCACTTAGAGAAAATGATGTTGCCCTCGTTAAAGTAAGACTTTTCTTTTATCTTATATAATATTGATATGTATCATAAGAAATTCATATAGTCGATCGTACAATATTTACTCGCTCTTATGGAAACTTCTAATATAGTTAACTATTCATTAGTCGTCATTCAATTATTAAATTAGGTGATCATGAAAATAAAAATGATGTAAATAATGTAAATGAACGAATAAAATTTTTTGCAGCTGATGTACAATGCACCTGTTCAAGTGACTCCTTCTCGACTTTCATCCATATACTCAGACAACTATCTATACGGTTTATCAACTCAGCTAGCTGGATGGGGTGAAACGAACAACGGTCGACCATCGAATTTGCTTCTAAAAGGCAATGTCACTGTTTTGTCGCACGAACAGTGCACTCACTATATTTCTTCAATGTGTGGATATTATTCGAGTTTACCAATTGTATATCTGTGCACCAAGAGTGAACCATCGGTAATTGTAGGAAGAGTAAGTGATCAAGGTTTATTTATGTAATAGGGTACTTCCTTCGTACTTCCATTGCAGTGTGATAGTTTGTTTTAAATAAGTAATACAATTTATTTATTTATTTATTATAATGGTTATATTTATTACCATATTTTTATTTATTATAATAGCTTAATAATACAAATAATACTGTTGAGATGCTTTTTGAAAATACGTTGAAAATACTTGAATTAAAATTAACTTTTGTTTTGTTTTTGTATTTATGTATATATATATATATATATATATATATATATATTAAAATGTTTAACTTAATGATGAAATAAAAAAGAAAGCACATTTATATAATAATGCTGAAGAGATAATGATATATTTCTGCTTGAAATTTAATTCTGTTCTGAATCTTCATTCATACAATAATATTATTATAAAATATCATATTATTATTTTACACATTGGAAGACAATTTAGAATAAAACTATTTAGTTTTTAATAAACATTACTAAATACTACTAAATAAATAATACTAAATTTTATTCTCATAAATATATTAACACAAACTATTTTTTAGGGCGACAGTGGCGGTCCACTTCTATATCAAGAGCAAATTATTGGAATTACTAAAGGAAAAGCACCATCATCGTATGAAGCAATATTACCTGAATTTGAAAAAATAAACGTCCATATTAGTATTAATTTCTATAGATCCTTTATAAACGAGATTTTAAATATGTAAAACACATTCTATGTATAAATATAAGTTATATATTTAATAAACTGATTTTAATTCGCAAGGATACGTAGAGTAATTTAACATTGATCTTGCTATTAGTTGTCGCATTGCAATGAGAAGCGCTAAAACGCGACTTGCATACTGGAACGGAACACATATATTCAAACAAGCGAACTGTTATCAGCATAACTTGGTTTATTCAAACAGTTTGTTACGGGGCAGGGCTGCATTTGAGTGCAATAAGTGATTTGATTGACGCGACTAGGTGGTTGTTGGGGGATGTGGGGGGGGGGGGGGCGTCGCAAATCAGTAAAATCTAAAGCTAATTCGAGTGTGTGTGTATTTTTTTATTTACAATACTTTATTTTATTGCTGTTTTGTTGCCGAGACTGTTTCTCTATTCTAAATATTTATTTCCTTTGTAAAATCATATTTTTTTAGTTGTCTGACTAATTATGGCTGGATAAAATGTATGATCATATAAAAATTGAATTCTCTTCAATTTAAATCTATTTGCTTTGCTCTTAATACAAATATTTTTATAAATCTATGTTTAAAAATTAAAAAAAAAAAAATTCGGTCTATATATTTAAAATAACTGAATTTATTAATATTTCACCAACTGATTTATTGAAATTTAAACCATAATAATATTGAAAAACAAGTGTTTCAGGTAAATTTATTGTTTTCGCAATAAATTTAAGGTTAAATATCGTTGAATCATTTATTTGTTATCCAGATTAATGATCTGCTGTAAACATTATAAAAATAGAAGGACTTTGACAATTTTGCAATTAAATTGATAAACTGACTAAAAAGTTTACGTAACTATAATAAGCGGAAATGATAGAAAAAGTAATGCATCTAAGTAAATTATTGTATTCAATTTTATATGGAAATTGAACAAGTTTTTAAGATTATGCCGTGAACCCTGAATCTAAATAATATTTTAATTATATATTTACATAATTAGATATTTGTAATGGAGTAATTCCTTAGTTAATATCTATATGTAACTATTACATATAGCTTACATTTTTAATTTTATACTTTGAAAAATCTATTTAATATTAATTTGATAAATACAAATATAATATATATATATATATATATATATATATATATATATTAATATTTCATCAATTGATACGAATTACAATTAAATATACTAAATTATTAACATAGAAAAAGTCATATTTGAAATGATTCTAACGCAAAAATTAATAGTTAAGAGAAGATGATTGGTTATGTTAATTTCATTAATTAAAGACAGAGACATTAAGGTTAAAGTATAGTTAAAGAATAAATCACTACTTAATGAATAATGAGTCAATAATTGTTTAAACATTCCAAATGATACATGAATATTCAATGATATTAAAGAATAAGTAGTAAATACTTATAAAAATATTTGTCAATAATAATGTGGTGAAATAATTTTTAAAATAATGTCAAAAATAAAAAATAAACAAAAGGGACAAGGTGACAACAGGTGACAATGATTTTTCTTTGTCAGAAATTTCTGCGCTAAATAGCTTCATATGAAATACAATTCATGTAAAATATCAAAAGTACAACATTTATCATTAATCAATTTCATTATAATCTAGAATTTAGGAAACATTCGGTAATAAACATATATAAACTTTATATTTTTAATACCGATTTTCCGAAATGAATATTTAATGTCCATTTTCAATACTAAAATTTATCACATTAAATCTTTATAATTCATTCATAATGAATTCATTCTAATTTTTTATTTATACGTTATACAACGTAGCTGAAAAGATTAAAAATTAATGAAAAACGTATATGTAAATATCTATCAATTTTGCATATCATTATAATCTATACATTTCAATTTTATATCTCATTTAACAATTATTGAATGCATGCATATATATATATATATATATTTTTTTTTTTTTAATTATTAAAGGTCAAGATATCATTAACATTTAACGACAAAGTTATCTATAAGACACTATAACAAGTAAATTTCGATAACCTTAACGATAGAAACAAAGTATTTCTTATATACTAGCGAATAATATATATTAATTTTTATACTTCAATAATTTAACCACTGCTAGTGCCTACATCCAATTTGTGCGCACCCATACACACCCATATATATATATATATATATATATTCACACACGCACGCATACACTCATACACACATAATCACACACGAACACACACATAAACATATACATTCATAAATACATACCTACACATATACATACACGCACGCCCGCACGCGCGCGCGCACGCAAATACATACATATACATATACATATACATATATATATATATATATGTGTGAGTGTGTGTGTGTGTTTTAGTTTTTAAATATCAATATGCAACAAAATATAATCCTTTACGCTATTCAGTTATATGTAATATTCCGTAAGTTTTTCAAAGATTCTTTTAAATTTTGTTTATATTAAGGAATAAATTAATACCTGATCGGAATGCTAACGAATTTAAAAATAAATACAATTTTTAATTCGACATCTTATTTTATAGATAATCATTATGAAAACGTTGAATCATTGCTTGGACAGAGATTACGACCAGTCACTTATGGTGAATATCCATTCGTCGTGCCGCTTATAAGCACAGATTCTGAAATTGCAGAAGAAAGTTATATTACGTGTACTGCTAATTTCCTTTCAAATTACTTCCTCCTAACGACCGAGCATTGCATCTATAACCATCAGTTTAATAATTTTCGAGTATATATGGGAAGTTACAATTTACATTTCAATCTAGAATTATATCCAATCTGGTTGATATCTTATGATCAATGGGCTACAGTTCATAATATACAAATTAATTTTAATAGCAATGACATTGGATTGATTTACGTGAGTTTCTCTTCAAAAAATAAAAGCAAAATTTTTTACAGAAATTCACAAGCATTAACATAATCATAACTAACAATTATCAAAATACAGGTTTTTAACAATTTACCATATCCTATCCACGTAACTACGTTATCGCCGATATCACCGCAAAACCGACTTTATGAATCGACTGCTAAAGTACTAGGATGGGGTAATAGGAATACTGTACCTCTCATATCGAGTGTTCTGTACGTAGGAAATGTAACTATATTATCGCCGGCGCGATGCCACCATCGTACTGAAGGACTACGAGGATCATATGTTTCGATACCGCCAACATATTTCTGCACCTCGGCTAGCCCTCATATAATAATAACATCTGTAAGTATCAAGAACATTCCCGTTCATCAAAGCCATGTTGTTCGATACTTGGCTATACTTGGCTATTGCCAAGCTTCCCCAAAGCCATTTGTTTATGTATAAGAAAGAAAAAAAAAAACTCTCAATTATTTACGTGATTGTCAAAGATTTTTATCATTGTAAAGTTAAGTAAATTTGAATATTTTAGCTTCTCGAATCATTGCAAAGTTAATATCATCAATGTTTGCTTTCGTTATAGAGTTCCACGATATTCCAAGTAACAACTGCCTTATGCACTATGAAATTTCAAATGGCAATTTTTTTGTCATTAGGTTTACAAAGGGAATGAAACTTATCCTCGCTATTGGAAAAAACCTTAAAACCTAAATTATTATCCATCTGCTTGAATATTTATCGAATGTTTAATGTTCCTAAAAATTATATCCGTACATTCAAAATCTTCGCGATAGGATTATCGCGGCTATCGTAAACAAATTACTCAGTTTACTAGTTTACTAATAAAACATATTATAAAAATTCTTATCTTTACAAAATTTTTGCTTCTATCAAATTCAAAATTAAAAGGAAACACGAATAAAATTTTTATAATATTATATTTTCATGTGTTTTTGTGATAATTTTATGAGACATGAACTTGAGTAACATGAAAAAAGAATTTTTTTAAAAACTAAAAAAAGATAACGATTGAATAGAAGTGTTTAATGAATCGTATTTAAAAAAAAAAAAAAAAAAGAAAAAAAAGAAGGATCGTCGTATCTTTAATTCGCTACTAATTTTAATGTATGGAGATAAAAAATTAATACCTATTTTCCTATATTTATGAATTCCCTTTTATCTAATAATTTTAAACATTTTTCTATTCTCCTATCTCATAGCCTACATATACGGATATAAACATATTCTATTGAATAAATAAAAAAACTAAAAAAAAAAAAATAAAATAATATGATAATTAATATAATATCTTTTGAATATTTGAAATATATTAATTTTGTATATTCTGCAGGGTGACAGTGGCGGTCCACTTCTTTACGAAGGTCAACTTATAGCAATTAGTGTGGGAACATGTCCAAAGGACGATTCAAATTATGTGCATTCTTTAAGTGTGAATCTTCACATTGGTATAGATTACTACAGAATGTTCATTTCAACAATAACAGGAATAATTGTATAAAAGTAAAACTGTATTCGCTAAAATAAAATTACTATTTTTTTTTTAATATCTTATAATTTGTAATATTATATCACAATTAATTTAATCTTTTAGTGCGTTTGAAAATGACGACCAATTAATTCATATTTTCAGAACTTAATAATTTCTTTCATTGATGTAGTATTGATAATTCTACAGTTTAGGCTAATTTTATTTAATTGTTTTTCAACAATGAGATTAGCACGTACGGTTTTCATGTTCTGATAAGAAATCGAAACGACAATTTGTGTATTAACGCCACTCAAGTTCCTTAAATTCATTAAATTTATATGAAAAGTTTTAATTATTAATTCCATGGGTATAATAAGTGAATTAACTATTCGTTATAACGTTGATATAACGCTTTTTGCCCTTCTTATGAAAATTAAAAATTACATTATGCAAACTTATTAAAGATAAAAGTTTCCACTTTACGTATTCGAATCTAGTTAGCTAAAATGAATAATCAAGGGTCATTGTTATAAAATTTTTGAAATAGTTAAATTAATTTGACAACTACATTATTTATTTGCACTAATACAATACATGATTTATAATCCATACTTGATTTTATGAGATTAAATTTCTGAATAATTTATCAATCGATGGATTATTCGTTAATCAATTATTAATTTGAACTCGTTGAAGTAAATTAAAGACCGTGTAAGTCATTTTAATTATCTAAAAATAATTTCAATATAATCGTTAAATATTTTGTTTAATGAATATTATTGAATTATGTAATTGAAAAATACCCAAGCATAAGTTTTTACAGAAAGCTGACATAAGCCGTGGTAGGACATTGTTAATCCTTTTGCACCCATAAGCATTGCAAAGTAGTATGATTTTCTATCCTTTGTCGTTAATTCTAGCCAATTACTTTTATACACTGCATTCAATATCTTTTCGCTCTAGAAGAATAATTCAAATATAGCTTAATATTAGTACATTAAGGGTATATTGAATTTTAATAAAATACCTTCACTGTTAGCTGATTGCCAAACCAACAAAACAAAAATACCTCATTGATTAAAGTAAAAAAATATAATGCCAAAACGCCGTGCTCGCTAAAGGAAACATTCTTCTACAGTATAAAAAAAATATAAAGTAATCCTTAATTATCGCAATGTGAGGACGAGTAATAACTAGTTAATAAAATGATAAAATAATTTACATATATATATATATATATATATATATATATATATATATGTATATTTTTTTCTTCTTTTCTTTTTTTTTTAATGATAAATCGACATGTTAACCATGTCAACAACATCTACGCTTATCATTACAATTATTGTAATTGCCGTTGTAATTAAAGCGCGTTTGATTTGAATATATATTTAAGATAGGTAATTAGATTAAGATATTCTGTAATTTTGTTAATACATACGTTCAATAATAATTTAATGCAATATTGAAAACTAATAATTATATTTTAGAGAGCCGGGAATCAAATTTGTTTTTTTCTTTTGTATTTTACATATTAGACAGTAGAATATTATGTTAAAAAGATATTAGTTAAGATTTGTATTCTTGAGTGACGCGTAATTTAAAATAAAAAAAAAAAAATAAAATAAAAAAAAAAATGTGTGCAAGGCTTATTGAACAGCGGTAAATGGCTATCTGGTAAATTTGTTTAATAGCCACGGATTTTGCTACAGGATTGCTACAGAAAAATTTTCGATAAATTTACATTTGTCAAATTAATTTACGTGCCAATTAATTAGACTTCGAGAAATCAAGTGATTATCATAAATATGACATTGTGCGCATATTTTATATAATTTTATATTATAAATAGATGAAATTTTGTAAATAAAATATTGTTTCAAAAGCTTTACCTGCACCAGTTGAAACAAAACGAGGCAAATAACCAATAAACATATTGAGAAAAACGGTATTATTATAATCATGAAAAAATTTTCCGTTCTCTGAAATATATCTTTTATTAAATTATGATGCATAACAATATATTTTATTGACTTTTTCCTTGAGAATTTTTCTACGTTTTCACTCCAAGTGACGATTCTATAGCAACACAGCTCTAACTGGCCAGAAATTAAGCAAATAAATGATACTCCCATACTGTCTAAAACGATGTGTAACAAAACACTTATAATATTCATCAACACCTCGTAAAAATATACCAAGGCATAAACAGTTGGATTTGTAAGATCAACTGGGCTATAAATATTAAAAGGAAGAACTCTTTTGTGTAATTCTTGTTTTAGGATTGGTAACAATATTAGAAATATCCCTGCTAATATGGCTAGCGACCTGTAGTAAGTTAAAATTTTCGTAGTCAAATTTTTATATTCTAGGATAATATTATTTTCCTGTGGTGTCTTTGGTTGGCAAATTTCCATTCGAAAACTATCCAGTAGTTTATTCATATTTTTACGTTGAATTTTAAAATTTATCATTTTGAAGAAGAAACTAATATAGGTCAATACTATTGACAAAGTCTCGATAAAAATTTTCAAATTACCATTAGCTAAGACTGATGTTGCTGCAACTTGCAGACAGATAAAACTAAAAATCATAATTATAGTGACAATTGAATATATTTCTTTAATTATCCAAAAGCTTTCATCTGCTTGATACCACAAACCTAGATACCGTAACATTCGAAAATGATCAGGTAATATGTCCATTATAATAAATTTTTTTTAATTTATTTTTAACTTTAAATGCCCAACACTAGTGAATAGATATTCTGAATTGTCTCATATCGCGAATGATGCGTACGAATTCTCGATTTTCTCAATTGGTATTACGTATGAATAATATATTCGGCAATTATGTGATTATTTCAAATAGCTCAAAGAACATACATCGTTTTCTACTTTACTAATAGTAGTTTGCATATTTGAAATTGAAATTGCTTCTACTTACATTTGTTACATTCCTATTTATTATTTTAACATATGACATAAAGTGACTTTGTACCGATTATATTATTTCTTGGAATAACAATAACAATAATAGCAATAATAATAACAACGGCAAGAGCAGCATCAACAGCAGCAACAAGGACGACGACGACGACGACGACGACGACAACAACAATAATAATAATATTAAACAATAAAATTTAAAATAATAAAAAATCTATGAAATATTATAATATTAGTTTTAATAATTATTTTTCTCCAAGATGATTTTTTGTTCTCTTTGTCTAAATTTTGCAAATGAATATGCTTTATTCTTAAAAACACTAATTTTATTAGTAATTCTTAGTTCTCTTGATTAGAAATCGTATTTTCAGAGAAAAGGAAAATTATCCATAAAATTGTTTAAATTTTTAAAGTCTTCGAGATACTTTTAGTACAAAGTAAGTAATCATTTTTCATCGTATTTAATTATTTCTTATAAATTGTCAATGTATATTTAAATGGAAGCATATATATTATATAAAATATCGTAACAATATCGATATGTTATGTACTTTTGAGCTGAAACACAATGTTATCTCTAAATAATATTTGACCAAGTTGTACTTTCATCATTGTAAAAATATAAATAAGCCATAAAATTCAATACATTAAAAAATGTTTCCTTATTTTCCAAATTGTTTATCCTATTAAATTGACTCGACTTTGTATTATTAAACCAATTACATATTACATCAAAATTTAATATGGATTAGTGCAATAGCCAATACTTCATTGGCATATGCAACGACTAACAACTTTATGTGCCTATTATTTGACAAACAACGTGTGATTTGTTATGCAAAAACACGATGCAGAGCATGTGAACGTGCTCAGCTGTACTGTCGCCTTGTATTAAAATATTCAAGGACATAATATAATCCAGATTAGAAATATATGTACACACACACGCGCGCGCGCAAAAACATATGCACGCGCATGCACGCATATATATATAAATATATATATATATATATATATATGTATGTATGTATGTATGTATACGTAAGATAGATAATAAAGTAGATAAAAATAATTATTATTTTATTGTTTGTTTGGGCCACTTAAATTATCTTTGACTTAATTTTCACTCACGTCCAATAAAATAATTGCATCAAGAGATTACTAATAATTCGTAATATATTTACTTTCTAATAACAAATTGTTATCAAATAAAAATTATCTTATATTTAGCATATGCTTTTTATCAAACTCTATTTCTTTTCTAGAATACTGAATTGGATTGTCGATATAACGAAGCGATAACTTATGAGTGTTGTTGATAAACATATTTTTATTTCGTTATTATTGTTTTTTTTTTTTTTTTGTAGTAAATAAGTTTGCTTACACAAATTAAATAGCCTCATAAAAGTATCGATAAATTAAAAAATTAAAAAATTAAAAAATTAAAAAATTTCAAGCTATATATTAAATTATGAATCTTAATTCACAATTCTTTATAATTTATTCTATCATTGCAAAATTTTATTTTCACATCGTATTCATAATACTTGAAAATCATTTAAATAATTTGTTATCGTTAAATTTTTATTTTAACACATGTTCGACACATTTTCATGTCATGTATCAAGTAAAATAAATATTATTGGTAATTGTGCGAGAGAATAGCTGCTATTCGAATAATTTAAATTCGCTAATATATACTTTTTAAATAATCAGCTTTAAAGAGTTTTATGAATATAAAATATGCGAATGAAGTAATTCAAGAACAATAATAATGAAATGAAAATAAGAGCTTATAAAGAAAATATTTTTAAAACATTGAAAGGTTTTTATGTTAATATTTACTATTATCATATTGCTGAAATAAAATTGTTATTATAGTTAATAAATTTATAAGATTTTGAACACTAAATTTTCAATTGCATTAAACATATAGAATATAGAAAATATTAAAAACTTTTTACATATTTATTTAATGACAATATACTGTATTCGTATAAATATTAGACACATATTCGAAGAGAAGCAATAAAAATATCCGTACAATAACGATAAAAAAAAACTATACCTTTAGTTAGATATTTTTTATTTATTAAAACAGCTATATCATTCAGACATAAGTTTTGAATTGAATAACACAAGAAAAGAAAACAATATCATCCTGAGATATTATATGTAATTATATAAATTATATATAGGATTATATATATATATATATATATATATATATATATATATATATAGATAATCTGAACTAAAATAACTGAAATTATTTTTCACCGGTCCAAGTCGAAACAAAGTCCAAATAAATGACGTATCGGGTTATTCCTGTATTACCGATGATCATAAAACTAATTCGACATCTTAAATTATTTCTTATTATAAATATTCTGGATACTTGAAAATCGTTGAAAATCTTATTAACGATCAAAGTTCTGGAAATGTTCTTTACACGCAGTCAATTATACCCAATGAGATATTGCTGGATAATACAGTGTAAACTAAATTACAAAGGAAAATTGTTATCGATACACTTGCGAACCGATCGGCACCATGAAAGTATATTGTAGATGAAATTGTAAAACCGATTGAAGGAGAGTTTAAGAAAAGCAAATGAAAATCAATCGTAAAAATGGAGTATTTTATTTACCGTAAGATCATAACGAAGCGCAAGGTATACGAATAAAATCATTTTAAGTCTAATTGTCTTTTTTAATTTTAATTAAAAATTTAAATAAACCTTGCAAATAAACCAGGCATTCTCCTTTGCTGAGGATGAATGAAAAATCGAAGGAATGACGCGCGAAGAAAATTAGCAGCCACGCAAAGAGAATTATGAGGTAAGTATTATCTCATAGAACATCCTGTTCCCTCGAAGCTTGAAGCCTAAAGTTGCTTAAAGCTAAATTAATTTCAATAAACCCATTGCTAATTAATCTTGGTTGCGCCTTGTATATTTATGAATTCTGCTCAAAGGCAATCTAATCCAATTTATTCCAGTTTCAATATCTCAAATTTGCGTTACTCAATGGATTTTTTTGCTTTTAATAAATCAATCAGCGCTGCGTTAATTATAAAAAGGCATGTTCGGCGTGTTGCTGATTATTCATCTTTCTTTTGAACCGCGAATTTTTAAACCGCGAAGTGGTGAAAAACAATAGAGCATCGCCTTGATAAACTTCACATTGTCACACTTGCGCGCTAAATTTAAATGTCTAGCCATTTAGCTATCTTTTCTTAATCCCTATACGTCTGGTTAATCGACGTCAGGAGGAAAAGTGAGTCGTTCACTCGCTCTCGTCATCTCGCCATTCCACCAGCTGGCGTCAATGCAAATTTAATCTACGTCCACGCTTCTGCAACCACCGAGCATTAGTTGCAAATTAACGAGTACCCTGCAAGTACTCGCTTCACGGCCTAAGCACCCACGTGACCACGCATAAACATGGAATATGGATTAACACAGTTGCCAAGAGGTGGCCAAGCGAAATATTGTAAGCAGGATATGTAACATATCGGCATGATATTGTGTCGGCTGCTTAGGTACTCAGGTACACTCATCCACGAGTCTATGAATTACTAGTGCGAGGCTCGGGCTCGTTGCGGTACTTCATTATGAGCTGGTAATTTTGGTAAAGATGCATTTTATTCTGTAATGAAATTGGCTCATTTTCATTTGGAACAAATGGTATTCAGTGTGTTTAGGTTAAATATAAATCTAGCCAGCTTAGGTTTTACTCGTTGCGAAATTGATGGGGTACATAGCCATGAAAGAGGTCCTGTTGCAGAAATAAAACTGTAATTTTCATTATAAAGTAAGCAGATGCTGGTCGTAAGAACTTGGAAAATTTCCTCCTTTTTGTGTAAAAAAGGTCTGTAATAATAATGATAGCATGTTTGTGGCGAAATACCAAAATTTAGCCTAGAACTTATATATTCTACTTAAATTAAATCTACTCACTTTTATTTAAACATTTAGATTGTTTACTTTTATCGTTTCCTTTTGTCACTTTTAGAGACCTACGCATTCCCAAATTATATGAATTTTCATTTATGCGAGATATTTATAAAAAAAATTATTTCATCCATTTATTTGTATTGCTGTTAATTTGACGATATCAACACACATTGTATTTGGCAGATTAGCATTTAAATATAGTTTTATATTTATCAGTTTATCAATGGAATTTTATTTAATTTCAAAATATAAGATTACATAATAGAGAAACGGCAAAAAACGCAGACTGAGCGATTAAGCTTATCAAGACATAAGTTTTTTTCTATAAATCAATAGCGTGGCAGCAGTTTTCATTTAATCGAGCAAAGTTAAATCCAAAGTATAAAATGCTATGCCATTTCATTAAGACAGGCAGCAATAAAATTAATTTCTCATACGCTCGACTATGTCATTTGTACTCGACGAAAGCTACTAAGGTAATATCAATTAACTCAACTAATATTAATATTTATTTTATAATTTTTAAAAAATTTTTTTAGGATTCTAAAGATGTTTCGGAGATTAAAGACATGAAAGCACCGCATCCAGATCCAATGACTAAAATACGTCAATGCTTACAAAGAGATGCTGCATTAATAAAAAACAATCTAACGTTTTGGAAAGATAAGCCAAATCCCGCTTTAGATAAAGATGGAAGAGTTATAAATTGGGATAATCCTAATGCGCCAATTTTTCCAAATTATTGCGATATTTTAATAATTGGCGGAGGTGCCATAGGCAGTTCTATAGCTTATTGGTGTAAGCGTCTTGGCAAAGCAAGTTTACGTGTTGCTGTCGTTGAAAAGGATCCCACTGTATGCTAAATTCTATACTCGTTCTTCATTATTAAAATTTAATGTTTGTGGAAAAAATGTTATCCATAGTTATGGCGCATCAATACGTTATGACGATTTATTATGAATTTCTATTAACTCGACAGTTTTATCAGTTGTAAATTTTTCCTTATAAAATTCATTGGTTCACAATTAATCTCAATTCTTAATTATGTCTTAATAATTAATAATTACTTCAATCCTTTCAATATTTATTTTAGTATAAACAAGCATCGACTGTTTTATCGGTTGGTGGCTTAAGGCAGCAATTCTCTTTGGAGGAAAATATTGAGATGTCACTGTTTGGTGCTGAATTTTTACGGAATATAAATCAGTACTTAGGAATTGAGGGAGAGCCTCCCGTAGACGTACAATTTCACCCGTATGGATATTTGTCACTAGCTAAAGCCGAACATTCTGAACTATTAAAGAAAAATTCTGAATTACAAAATTCTTTGGGAGCTAGAAATGTAATTTTGAATGCAAAGCAGTTAAAATATAAATTTCCTTGGCTTACGACCGATGATATTGAGATTGGTTGTCTTGGGTTAGAAAATGAAGGATGGTTTGATCCATGGTCTCTTTTATATGCCTTAAAATGTAAGGCATTATCGTTGGGAGTAGATTACGTTACTGCGGAAGCGAAAGGATTTAGTTTTAAAATTGACAAAAATGCATTCGTTTCCGGTGTCCAGCAAGGGGAGCACCAGCAGCTTGAATATTTAGTTGTGAGCAAGACTTTAAATTATTATTAAATTATTAAACAAGGGAAATAGTTTTAAGCTCAAGGAGTGAATTTTAGGGTATATGTATTGTAAAATCAATTTCGTCTATACTTTACTGCATTGTAAACACAAATTAAGATACATTTGAATTTTTTTCTGTTTTTCACAGTTTTAAATTAAGCAAATTAAATGACTATTTTCAACTAATATTCTTGACAATTTTAAGAGAGTTTGTAAATAAATTATCCTAACTGAGCAAAACCAATTTTCAAATGCAAATAGTACCAATGCGAATCTACACTTTTCGAGATCTATTTAATTGAAAATTCATTGAAATCATTTCCCTTTGTAAAAAAATTATTCATACAAATTATAATACTTAGGCATTCTTTGGCAAGTTATGAGCATTGTAATTAATATTGTCATTTGATGTTAATTTAGGTACAAACGGAAGATGGCCAATTGCGACCCATGTATTTCAGCAAATGCATTATTGCTGCTGGTGCATTCAGCGGAAATATTGCAAAAATGGCGAAGATTGGTTACGACAAGGATATGTTATCTGTACCATTGCCAGTAGAGCCTAGGTATAATATATGAAATTACGTATTATATTAAGTTTCTTTTATTATCAAACTCGTATGTCATAAAACATGTATTCAAAAATATTTTAGGAAACGGTATGTTTATTGCTTTCATGCTCCCAGTGGACCAGGACTGAATATCCCATTGACTATAGATCCAACGGGTACCTATTTTCGACGAGAAGGCTTAGCCAACTATTATATTTGTGGTCTTTCTCCCGAAGAAGATGAAGAGCCTTCTATAGATAACTTGGACGTTGACCAATATTATTTTGAAAACAAAATTTGGCCTATTCTAGCGAAACGAGTAAAAACTTTTGAAAATTTGAAGGTTTAACATGCTTTAATTTACAAAAATATATTATACTTTTAGTTTGTCACAATTTGTCAATATTTATTTACATATATCGATTATTAAACTTTCCAGATTAAATCTTCATGGGCAGGATACTATGAATACAATACATATGATGAAAATGGTATTATAGGTTATCATCCGTATCATGATAATTTAATTATTTGTACTGGCTTCAGTGGTCATGGTATTCAACAAGCACCAGCTGTCGGTCGAGCAGTATCAGAATTAATAGAGCACAAGGAATATACAACTATAAATTTATCCAGATTATCTTTTGAAAGATTTATTATTAATGAACCAATCAAAGAAAATAATATTTGGTAAAATTTTAAATGATTTATAAAATATTTTGTAAATAACTGTGTAAAATAAAATATTATATTTAATTTAAAAATTAAATTTATTTATTATTATCGATCATATATGATCACACAAAATAAGTATATAGAAATATGATGTTGTTCCTATATAATATATGTTTTTTTGTGTGTATACGTATGTAAATATATATATATATATATATATATATATATATATATATATATATATATATTTATATATATACACAATTGTTTATGCTTGCACTTAATTCTGAAATTTATTGTTCTTGCACTAATTTTGATCACTTTCATTCTTTTATTTAAATTGTTGCGGGGGAGGACCAAATATACTACCGCCTTGTTTACTGGCTGTTCGCGATGGTGCAAAACCAAGTAACTTTTGGATATTCTAGAATATTTGTTAAATTAATAATGGAATTATAATAATTGAAGAAGTAAATTGAAATTGTTAATTAAAGAAAATCTCACCTGTCTAATACTCATTGTACATAGAATATATAAAAATATAAAAGAACATTCCGTATAATCGTCTCCCAATAGATTTCTATGGGATAAACCTTGGATCCAGCTTATTGGAACAAATGGAAGTCTTGCTACAATACGCCCATCAAAAATGCTATTGAACATACTCAACAATGCAGTAAAAGCAAATCCTATAGCGAACATCGATTTCATTTTAACTAGTGATAAGTCTCTATTATTATTTTTTAACCTTTCTTCCTCGCGTTCAATTTTCTTCTTCTGTTGTTTATCTAACGAATCACCATGTGCCTCTTTTCTTTTTTCCACTATGTTATTCAAATATAAACCATTATATACATCTTATTTATGTTGTAAAAATAATTGTTTAAACATAAATGACTTACATTTTTTACTTTGTTTTTCTACCTCAGCTTTTAATTTTTGATATTTTTCAGTTCTATATACCATTAACCAGGTCAACCCTTTGAAAAGCAAAATAAATAAGCTGAATTTTTATTATATAACAAATTTTTTATTTAAATTTGTATTAAAGTACATTTTACTTCTTTACCTTCACCCAAAAGAGCTGTGCAAATGCTAATGAATAAAATTAAAACTGTGTCCGCCCACATTATTATATTAATTATTTATCATATATATATAAACTTTTACAAATATTTATTATATTGAATATTCCATAAATTAGGCCTACAGAATACTAACGCAAATAAAGTTGTCAAATAGTTTACAAAGTTGAAATTTACAATGTATTACATTTCACATCAGCTAAGACCTTCGTGCAAATGCATATAAATTATTACAAATATTAATCTGTAGAAGGGGTATTCCGAAAATAGTATTTCACAACCAAACCGATTAAAATGATTGAGTTGAAGTATCAAATATCGTTAGAAACATAACAATCAAACAATTTCAGGAAAATTGGTAATGTGAATGAACGTGATGTAGAAGCAGACGATCCAGTGATAAAAATTGCTCAGTAACAGTCACGTGATAATATCTGATTATTGTACCAACCGTCGTAATTAAATGATTTTTTCCAAATTTGTTATTAATATATAAGTTATTTGAATTAAATATCGGCAATTTTCAGAAAAATTCTATTACGTCTATTTAGAGATACTTTTATGAAATAATAATTTCAAGTAATTTTATTTGTCAATTGACGTTTCCCCATAAAGAATTAAATTAATGTAAGAAAATAACGTTAAATTCGTTAACATTCGACATATGGATTATATTATAATTTAAATTAATAAGATCTTGTAAAGATTAAACATTGTTTACATAAGTAATTGCCAAGTTATTTAATTCTCTGGTTATATCATTCGATAGTTGTTATATTAATATAGATGAATAGTTAATTATTTCTTATTAATATTATACGTTATTAATAAGAATCATTTTGATTATAATTTCACTTTAAAATTTAAATAAATTAATAAAGAAAATTTTAACGTAGTACGTAAATTTGTAGATCTTTTGGATTTTTTAAATTATGCAATAATATGTACATGCGTGTGTGTATATATATATATATATATATATATATATATATATACACCCATATATATAGTAATAACTTGAAAATAAAACATAAAATACAAGTAAATATAACACTATATATATATATTATATCTTTTTCAAAGTATTACTTTCAATTTTATAATTACAATGTAGAGATATTACATTATTTGCTGTCATAATATAATTTAAAATAAAATTTACATGATTTAAAAAATGATATCTGCTTGCCGTCAATAAATTGTAATAATGCTTAATAAAAGAAAATCGCTTATTATAAAGGAATACTTTATTTATAATTGTATTCTTTTTCAATTGTTATTTCCTATCTGTTAATAATGCATTAATATTATTTTATGTTAATTTTTCTTGCTACGTATTAAATATAGTCAAAATGATATATTAAATATAATTTGTCAAAAAACTATATGAGTATATAAAATTTTACAATAAAAAGTATACGATCATTAATGTTTTAAAGCGATAAATATATAGTACCAAATTCTTTTAAATATTCGTATCTCGTTTGATTATTCTTTTGATAATTATGATAATGTTTGAGATATTTTTACATTATTCTTGAATCATTCCATCTTGATTTAAAAAAAAAATAAATAAATACTTTAATACAATTTTATAAAATCTAAAGTTATATATGGATTTACTAATTATTTGTAAATACTAAAATTTTATATATTACCAATATATTTAATATCTCTAATCTATATTTTAATTATATGCATCCTTAAAGATCAAACATTATTTGAGTATGAAAAGAGAAAATGAACACATATGATATATTTTACAATAGTATGTAATAAGCTGATTATTTCGAATGTATTTTAATGAAATTAATTTCTGATTATATGTGTATTATTTGATAAATTGAATGTCCGGCTTGAATGTAATTAATTAATAAAAAAATAGATTATACAATTCGTATTTAGAGACAATATTATGTAAGTATATTGAAAATTGTTGATACTGCATAAATTTAATACTTATATTTATATTCATGTGAATATATTAATATATTATTTAAATATATTGTTTATATATTATAGTACAATATCAAAGAACGTTTGCTTTATAAAATTTTCTTATAAGCCTTAGCTTAAGAGAATAACTTTACAGGAGTTGAAGAATATAACAAATATAACAAAATTAATGATACTAAGTTTGTAAATTACAAGTAAGAAAATATTTAAGATATTAAAAATTAAATCATTAAAATATTGTTGGATATAAAGAAAACGATCATATTGATAATAATAACTCTCCAATAAAATATAAAATCTATTTACTAATTTAATTACTAACTTATCAACACAATAATACCAGAAATTTGATACGTCTTATCGCTAAAAGTTTCAAAGTCTCTTACACTCTTTATATTTAATTCGGCGATGTATTTTTTGCGACGACATAAATGTATTATAAATACAAGTATGGAATAATTATTTTTAAACAACTTACAAATACTTATACATTATACAATTAAAAATACATTTGAAAAATAATTTGTTTATCTAAGCATAGATAAAATTTAAAAATAAATAAATTTATATTAAAAGCAAAAATTTATTAAAAATATTTAATAAATATACTATTTTAATTCTTCATAAATTATTACTCAAAATCAAACCTTTTTTTACTTCAGCAATCCTTTTCATTTTTATATTTACCTATTGCAACTGATACGATAATTTCAAATAAAATCCTTTATTATTTTAAATACTATAAAACTAGAATTTATAGTTTTTAAATTAATCTTTTTATTTATCCAGTAGTTATTACTTTGTTATTAAAAGAAATTCTTAAATATGTCGATTTAAATATTTTAATTTGGCAATTTCAATATATCAACTTGATTCTTGTAACAAACACAAAAATTATAATTAATAATCTATTTTTTTTTTTTTGTTTTTCTTAAAAAAAGACCAATTGATATATAAATATGATATTTGGTAATATTGATTAATAGAAATGTTTTAATAACAATCCAAAATTTAATGAACTTCAATTTTTCCTGTTTGGATCAAGAGTAGTAATTTGAGATCTATGTACAAGTTACTTTATTTTGACTGTTAAAAAGAATTTATTGAAATTGCAAAGTGTATTGTCTACAAATAAAAATGATTCCTCACTTGATTCACTATTTACATTGATTATAAAATGATAATGAATGTAATATTAAAGATAAGAAATTTCTATAATATTATTATTTACTTATAATCGATTCAAAGAGAATTTTAATGGCTTCATATATAGATTGTTATTTTATTTATTTAATGAATATTTGCATAATCATACATACGCGCGCACGCACACAGAGATATATAATATTGACGTTGTATAAAAATTTTTGCATTCAAATTTCGTAAATAAAAATGTGTTTATGTCGAAATTTAAATTATAAACTTTATAACGTACAAGATATATTGTCAATTAATAAATCCTAAATGAGTCTATAGATTTATAGATAGATAAAAGAAATTTCACTAACGATGTGAAAAATTAGCATAAAAATATAAGTATAAGTATAAAGTTAATCTTGAAGATTTCCAATTTATTCGATTAAAGTTAGTTTAGAATACATTCACCAAACCGGATAGATCAACATCACAGAATTCTAAACATCTCTTTAGCCATATAATAGCATCGAATTAAAAAAAAAAAAAAACAAGCTTTAATAATAAAAAAGATTTAAATATTTACAAAATTAACGATAAATATTAGCATCGCGCAAAGGATATTTATAAAAGTATATTGCTATTTTATTTCTTTTGATAAAGTTTTGCAGTCATCGCAAGTGCAAAATACAAATATATATGTCAAATGATACCAATTAAAAGATTCATAATCTTCTCAAGTGTTGATTTACTTTTGTATTTGAGATATCAAAGAGAATAACATAGTTAGTATAAGCTCGCCTTATCCAATGCTTATTATGAAATAGAATATTACGATAAAAACATTTTGATCACTGTTTCTGGTATGAAAGTTTCGTTGTTTAACAAATATTGCACAAAGTTCAGCAATGGAACAAATTGCAATCATATCGTTTTTATATAAATTATTTTTAATTTAATAATACAATAGTGCAATATATAGACGTAGCGGCAATGATTTATACACTTTAAAATTTAAATAAACAGGGAAAAAAAAAAAAAAAAAACAAATACTTTAAACATATTGAAGGCATGCGCAAACTATTCATAGAAAATTACTCACTTGCGCAACGCAAAGAAAGCTGCACCAAAGTAGTTTTTCGATTTTATTAGAATATCTTGAAGGAGCCGCTTCGTAAATTGAATTCAATAGAATTTTCTAAAGCGATAGACTTTTGCAAAATAATCGGCATTTTTTGCTATCACGCTCTTATTTATTATTATTATTATTATTTTTTATCTGCTGCAAAATTGACATATTAAAGTCCTTTGCAATATCGGGGCGAGTTTACGCGATATTTACGCGAGCTTTGTTAATAGAACAAATTTAAGTTCCTGGTGCTGATGGATCGATTTTAACATCTTTATAATCGTCGAACTTTCTCTCGCGGATGCAAACAATGTAATATAGGATTGGTCGATAAAATTCATCGAAAATCGGTAAAGTGTAGAGCAGTGGTACAGGTGTTACTGTGTGGAACTTGATTGTAAACTAGTAAGAGTATGTGTAGATAGTTGAAAATAACTTTTTTTAATAAAATGGGTAGTGTTGATACCGCTGTTAAAAAGTACTCCGAAAATGGTTGCATTGAGCTGATGAATGATAACAACGAGGAGGAATATGGGCAAAATCTTAAAATTCTACCGACGAACGACCAAGTCAACGAATTGCAAACTATTTTACGGGACAAGTGAGTAGATACTTCAATTCTAACCCTAATGCTTTTCTATGCAATATGTCATATATTAATAAAGCTTAAGCTGTATATAATCTTTATTAATTTCAGGACCACAACGAGAAGTGACTTTAAATTCTATGCAGATCGATTGGTAGTTTGCTCATTCGTTAAATTTTCAATGAACTTATCGTAAATTTATGCTCATTCTGTATTTCTCGTTATGCTTAGATAAGGTTAGTAATTGAAGAAAGCTTGAATCAACTACCTTTCACAAAATGTGTTATTACAACTCCAACTGGTGCAAAGTACAAGGGGCTAAAATACCAAAAAGGTAACTGTGGTGTTTCCATTGTCAGAAGCGGAGAAGCAATGGAACAGGGTCTAAGAGATTGTTGTCGCAGTATACGAATTGGTAAAATTTTAGTTGAGAGTAATGTTGACACACACGAAGCAAAAGTTGTTTACGCCAAATTTCCAGATGACATTGCAGAGAGAAAAGTTCTCTTGATGTACCCAATAATGAGTTTGTATTGGTATTAATGTTTATTAATTTGTTTAAGATAATTATCATTAATCATTTCAATTTATATATATCAGGTACTGGAAATACTGTAATAAAAGCAATAGCTGTATTAAAAGAACATAATGTGTCAGAAGAAAATATTATATTATCCAATTTATTTTGTACACCTTTTGCAGCCAAAACTCTAGTCAATGCATTTCCCAAGGTAATTTATTTACATATGCCTATAATTATTTGCGATATAAGATTGTTTATAAAATGAGATATTAATGTCTTATAGATGAAAATTTTAACGTCAGAGATTCATTCAGTGGCACCAAATCATTTTGGACAAAAATATTTTGGTACGGACTAAACTAGTTTGCCTTTACTAGCTCCAACTGATGGAACAGGGTTCAAAAAGTGAAAAGATCGAACTTAGGTTTTTTAGAAAATAAATTATTACAGGAGAAAGGTTAACAATAATAACTTGTGCAATTGTAAAAATATTGTACTGTAGAGAATTTTTAACATGATTTTTGTTAGAGAATGCAATTGTGCCTTATATTTTTTTATAATCTATATGTTTATTTTAATTAAACATTTTAATGTAATATTTGCATTATTTTATAGCAATAATTTTTTGTAAATAGAAATATTAAACGTATTTGTTGAGGATTATTTTTGCAATTGTGTAAGCCTTATAAATATCTAAATGGATCTTAACATCAAGCATTTATTACAGCAAATATTTAATAGATATTTGTTAACATTTATTCGATGGTATTGAATTATTTTTTATATATCCTCAATCCATATATATATATATATATATATATATATATATATATATATATATATATATATATACACACACACACGCATACAGTTGATGTAGTCTATGTTAGATATTTCCCCTGCTAGTAATTTACTTTCTTTTTTAATATAATTATGTGCAATTAAGTTTTTATTGATCGTGGTAATAATGTTTATAAATTGATTTATTTATTTTTTTTTTCTTTCTTCAAATTTACTATAAATTAATCATTATTTAGACCATAATCAATATTAACTTAATAGACAAAATCAGAATGTAAAGAGTTGTCTTTCACTTCATGTAAATTGTATGAATCATGAAGCATAATTGTACGTTATACAAAATGGTATAACATACCTTTTAGTTGTATAGCATTTTTATTATTTTTTTATAAAAGAGATTTATAGCGAATTATTGTCTATCGATTGTAAGATCACGTGTTCTGAAAATGTTTTAGATAAAAAATATTTTATTTAATAGATGTATACACAAATTAAATTTTCATATTATAACAGAAATATCAATTATTACACTGGACTGTATCACAAATTTAAAAATTGCATAATGTAATTACTTTTAAGTTTTTCAAATATTTACTACTTAAATATTTTTATCTTATTTTTTTTTCTTTCTCTACGCTATGATTACTTGGCATCTTAATAATATAAATAAAATCCCTATTTATTTTTATTATTAACATAAGTGAACATAAAATTTGCAATTGAACTGTATTGGTTAAAAATAAATACCTTATGGATCAATGATATTTCTACCATTGCATAATGATCAAATGATGTTATAATGTTATTGGTCACAATATTTATTTCATTTTTTTTCAACTTATACTTTATGAAAATATTTTATTGATAATTCATATTAAGTGACAACAAAATTTTAACAACAAATGTAAATTAATTAATGTATTATCCAATCAGGAAATTAAATCAAATTTAAATTTGAAAGAAGCATGAACGAACATTTAATATTTAAAATCCACATTTTATTTATGAAAATTAAAGTGACTGCAACATTGTTCTTCAAAAAGATGGTAAAGGATAATGTGAATCGTTGAAAGGCAAAGCTTGAGAGTATCGTACTTTCCATGATTTGATTTCCTGACAAATATTAAATTCTTAAGACTAAATTGAAATTTAAACATTTTTTTAAGTTAGGGTATTGTAACAAAAATAATTGAAAAAATAAAAATAAAAGTTGTAATAAAATTACGTGTTATTTTGTGCATTATTTTTAAACAAACGTTATACTATGAAATAAAAATATTTAGCTTATTTGTTGTTTATTGGTGATTGAAGGAACAAAACAAAACAAAAACAATAAATCTAAAATGTAATTTAGCAGCATATGCTTTAACAAAAAATAAAACTAAATTATCTAATAATCTAATTTAAAGACACTGATGTTAAACAATATTGTTCATTTCAGGCTGTACAGAACGTGGTGTAACGAAGAAATTGATAGTAGACTGACATTTTCATCCGACAAAGAAATATACTAAGATACGGAAGACAAATATATAATGTTGAAATTAATACTTAATAAATCAAGCATTCCTAAAATATTTTCAATGAAAGGAACTTCAACATGTGATTAACAATAAATTAAAAAAATCTTATTAAAAATGAAAACATCAAAATTAAATTTTGTTTATAACGATTAAATATTATATTGTTTTTGATGTTATTAAGTATGATAGTGAGAAATTTCCAAGTTTCTTTTGAGAAGAAAATTGTAGTCAATTCATTAGTTATAAATTTAAGTAAAATAAAACTGTTAATATTACGTTTTATCGTATAAATGTTATTTTTTATAATATGTAACAGTACGGGTCTTTCTCCATTATTATATTTCCTTGGTATAGCTAGTTATGTATAGCTATAGATAACTAGTCATTGGGGAAGGATTCAAACTAGCATAAACTAATAAATATTTTGTAAACAAATGTTAGTAAAAAAATATAAAAAATTTATTTATTATATATAAGACTGAGTTTTCTCATAATTAAAATTTACATTATCTTGTGATTACGTATTGCTCACTTATCTAGATTTTAATTTGTTCAAAATGTCCGAATGTTGGTTTTTTAATGAAATTCGATCATCGAAGCTTTCTTTATTTTGATGCTTGTTAACTTTTCTTCATCCTCTTTGGAATAAAATCTCTTTTGTTAAGCCGCTTTACAATTCTTTGCTTTATAAAAGTATTGTACTTCACAAAATTTACCTTCTATTCCTTTGGCTTTCATCGTACGCAAGATGCCCGTCCAAACCAAAGCTTTAAGTGGTAGTTCTCCTCGATTTTCATTTATATTATATTTTACTCGAAACCTAAATCTACATTCGGCATTTCCGTTCATAATGACTATCCAATTTTTCACCTCTCTCTCTCTCTCTCTCTCTCTCTCTCTCTCCTTAATAATACGAAAAACTGTTTTACCGTATCTACTGTAATTGATATTTTGATCGTTGCTTGTTTAGATTTTTCTGTTCTTTATTGTAAAAAGAAGACCATTTGGGACCTGCACAGGATTACATTATTGAAAGGAGTAATATTTTAATAAGTAATACCAGGGTGTTAAGGAAGAGAAAATGTAGAGCGATGAGAAAGCGAGATCAGATCCCCAAAGAGTAGAACTTTGAACGAGAATAAATACATACATTCTCTTAATCTTGCTCTTTCCGATGACAAGCAGTTATTTAGTGATCAGGATGAATTTATCCTTGACTAGAGGTACGTCAAATGATACAATCTCGAGGAAGACATGATCTAAGCATATTGTATTTAAATATGATAAAACATCTGCATACAATTTGAATTATAATTCAGTCGAATTTCTTTTAATTCTTTTAATTTACTAAGGTAACACATAAGAACCAAAACTACAACTTTGAAGAATTACATTTTACCTATAACCCTATACAATCTTTGGCTACAGGACAATCTCTGGCTTATTTAAATTAAAGACAAGAATTTAATTCTCTGGAAGTCTTCATTGCCATTTGGGGCACTTGGGTAAGAGGAGTAATCCCAACTATTTCCAATAAATCCACGAAGCTCTTGAGCTAATTCTTCAAATCCAGTTGGTATAATATCCAGTAGCAGAAAAAATATTACGATCCTTGCCACCGAAGCTTTTAGTGTTAATCTGCAAGAAAAAGTTAGTAAACAGATCAGAGTTCTCTCTAATATAACCAATCACATTTGGAACAAAGTAGTTCTAAAAATACAGCGGTATTTTTATCGACGTCTGACGTGTTTTATCGTTTATTTTAAAAATTTAAGGACAAAAGGTACATTACAAATTTACAATAGTAACAGAAAAACTATAAAAATACAACCCGAAGCTGTCCACTCACTTTTATTCATTGGCTTAAGAATAAATCATATTGACCTGGATTCCAACAAATCTTTAGACTTGCAAGGATAAAATAATATTTAACTCGTTCGATCGAGATAAATGCAAAGCTTCGCTTCGCCGATTAAACTCTTTGCTGAAGATTGAATTTATAAAAGTCAATGGCTCTCATTCTATCCGCTACTATACTTTGGAATGGACATTTTTTTCCTAGATTGATTCGCATCTATTCCTAGTAATGGTACGACAAATGGCCAAAATTTGTTGAATTTGGTAAACCTCGGTGGGTACTCACTTGGTAATTTGGTCTATCGACTTTGTATTCGGTATGGACGAAGAGACGATGATAATGGAGACGATGATATTTTTTTCTTTTTTTTTCTTTTTTTTTTAATCCCTCTTCCAAAATCCATATCTTGCGAGTACAGAATTGAGAAATTTTATCGAATGCTGTGCCTCGTAGGCCAGGATAATTCACAAAATTCTAGTGAAAAGTATCGATTGGTTTTACATCACTGGCTACACTTCACCACTTCAAAGGCGCACGATAATCAACTTCTCTCCTTCACACACTTAGGAAATCCCAAGAAAATGAGCCGCTACCATCGACACCCTCGGAGGTAGGTACATCGGGAGTGCACACCACCTACTCGTGCCGTACGAATTTGATAAGAAAAAAAAAAGAAAAAGAAAAGAAGCGTATAGGGTGTTTAACGAAATCGAGTTATCCTCTCGATCATCGTCCGACACATCGAAGCTGTGTAAAATCTTGCGAGCGAGCGCACTTTATTTCCTTTTTTGTATATTTATATTGGCAATTTAAATTGCTCATTGGGTTAAAGACATTTTTCGATGTTTAAACCCGGTGGACGGCTCTCTCCTCTCCTCTCTCTCTCTCTCTCTCTTTCAAAAAGGCAACGAACCAATGTTCGACCTTAAATGAATTCTCCCTCTTAAAAAGTAAAGGTACGGTAGATGTGATTAAAAGCGCGCGAATTTCTGAAATGTGCGAGAACATCGAACATCGAACATCGAACAATCGCACGATTGAAGAGAAAAAAAGTTGTTCCCCGTGCCGAAGTGCCGTAAGAATCGTACTCGCCGAGTTCTTCGTGGCCCGTTCGTGTTGCACTCATTGGCATCGGGGTAAGCTTTTTTATCCGCCGGTCGTCATTATCATGCATCGGACTTCGGTTAATTCACTCTGGATCTATTATAATCGGCCGAAGCGAGCGTCGTTTGTCATATTGATTAAGCAACCCTAGATACAACAATTTATTTAAGCATTGCATGAGTAAGGCGATTGAGCGCTGTCGTTGACTTACAAATGCTGGACTCTTATTCGTAGCCGCAAAAATTAATAAAATAATGCTCTTGCGTTAATTTCTTCATAATCGTAATTGATAGCGAAAGAACATGGCCGAACTTATTAATCCAAAAGCTGAATCGAAGGGATTTATATGAAAATCAAGAGGACTCCGATCCTGGTCAAATTTCCTTAAATAAACCAATAATCCGAACGACAAAATTATAATGTAAATAAATATAGTGAAATCGTTATGGTGAAACGATGTTATGGTTAATCTGCATTGTTTTATCGGCTGCAGGCCGACTTGTAATTTATTAAATTTAAAGTTTGCATTGCAAGGATGAAAATCTTTGGACTTTTCGTGTGTATGCGCGTGCTTGTTGCAATTGGCTGATGAAGCGATCGATTTAAGGCCTATCGCATTAATAATGCAATATTCAATTTTTCTTTTACTAAAACTTGGTCATAATTTATTGATTTGTGTATTTTATATTTATTGCTAGGCCGAATGCTTCCCCGACGACCAGCTATCTGGGTTATTAAACTAA